TAATACTTATAAAACATTGTATAAAGGTATGGTTTTGAAATTTAAAAATTGTGTAATGTCAAATTATTGAGGATAATTATCAGCATGATCTGCTCAGCAGAAATATGGCACTTGCCTGTTACCCCACCTTGTACTATATATAAGATCCTAGATTTCTGTTCCCTGATTGAAATATCTAAAGCAAGCAGATATATAATCCTTAGGAGAGCCATTTTTTTTTTTTTCAATATCCAGGTTTAGGTAAGTGATATAGCACTGTGCAAGCATTTTCGAGCCAAAGTCAACTAACTAAATCATTAAGAGACTCTCTAAAAACAAATTTACCTCTCTTTTGTAATCAACTTTTGATGTTATGGTGACAGAAAACTCATGGAACCTGAGCTTCTACCTAAACATTTTCAGTTCCAACATGTCACATCATAGAAGTGTGTTTTTTAAACCTCTGGTGTGATTTTTATCATTTACTGATTTCAATACAGTAGTATCTCCTTAGAACAGATAAAACCTTCATGCATTTTAATATATTCTACTGAAAGTATTAGACCTTTATCACTATGTCTAGAAAGAAATGTGTATTTGGAGGAATATTTCTTCTTTTTAATAAATCTGCCCCTATTCATGTTGCAGTGCCATTCCTCTAAATTTATATAGCATATTTTTCTATCCTGTCCTAATGGCATTTGTTTTGTGATTGGCCTGTAATTTCCCAGGTAGTAATTACTTTACATACTAATTTGCTTCACAGACACACACACACACGCATTCACATATACACATAATTTGCTTGCTTATATATTTATTCTGTATAAACATCCTGATATAGGCTACTTTTTCCTAACAAGTATTTTTACCACCCGTTTGTTAAAATCATGCAGGCATTCATTTCATTCATACAGCTGGTGATAAACCAGCACTATTTGCAGGCCTCACGCATGCATTTGGCTATGTCAAGAGACATGGTTCAGTTATAAGTGCATTGAAGCACACATTTACTTCTGAATCCCTGAGTGTTCTTGAGGCAAGCCACAGAGCTGTACTACACTGCTTCATAGATGAAACTCTACATCAATATTTTTCAGAGGTATGAATACATATAATTATTGGGTGATATTATATCCTGTTTCAAAGGCTATAAAAAGTAGATTTCTCAGATCAGAAAATGTGACACATTTACACATTAAGGATACTTTCTAATTCTCTTATTCTCTCTGAAAATCTATGTAAATCATAACTGCTAACAAGAACATTGATATTCACATATAATATAGCCTTACATGAGAATTTCATGTTTATATACAGAAGCAATGGATTGATGTATGTACTCAATGCATTCTGCATATTATGGTTTGAGATAAACACATACAAGCTAAAAGAAGACAAAGACTGTAGTATTGAAACAAATAACTTTTAAAGTTAATAAATAATTTTAGTTATAAAGATAATTACAACTTACTGTTATTTGGAAATAGAGGCTAGTAGCTACCACTTCTTTTACTTTCATTTTTTTCTTTCATTTTTTTTACTTTTGTGGATACCTAGTAGTTGTACATATTTATGGGATACATGTGATATTTTGATACAAGCAATGTGTCACACTTGAATCAGGGTAATTGGGATATTCATGACCTCAAGTATTTATCATTTATCTTTTATTTTATTTTTATTATACTACTTATCACTACTTGACATTTTCTTATTTACTATTTTTCGTATTGTCTATATCCTTCTAGAATATAAGTGCCATGAGGGTATGGACATTTTTTGCCCTGTTCAGTGCTTTATCTAAAATGTTCAGAAAAATTCCTGGCATGCCGTACTAATATTAAATTATGAAGAAAATAGAACGGGGTTCACAGTTTTAGTTTCTGGAATTTTCCAATAGTATATGTCATTATTATTATTATGCTGTTTTTTAAAGCTATAATAACTATTTTACTTGGTTTTTGTTATTTTTAAACTTTATATATATGTGTGTATATTTATGTAGCATTATGTTCACATTCTTGTATTTTGTAGGAACAATAGAAAACTTAAAGATGCCTCAAAGAGATATAATATATAATACATTCTATTCCCCAAAGAGGTAAGAATAAAGATGGAGTAGGCAATACCAATACTAAAGAAAAGTCAGCAGGGAGTAGAGCATTTTTACTCCTGGGAAAGAGAACTACAGAAGAAATACTGCCTAGTCACTTAGTCAGTTGTTTTCCTGCATAAATCTGTCAGAAGAAGGAATCAAAGATAATGTGTGAAAAAGTCCCACGTATATTACAGAAACATTTGAAAAGTTACTACTAGAAGTAGTGAGTAGGGTGAATTATAAGCTTATTTCAAGACCCTAATCTGGTAATGCAATCTCCCTGAACTGTAATTTTAAGGCTTTGATGGTTTTACTCCTACAATTTAAAAAAGAGAAGAGTATATCCAAAATATACAAAGAACTCTTAAAATTCAACAGTAAGAAAACAAACTAATTTAAAATGGTCAAAAGATCTGTTTTACCAAGAAAGATATTTAAATGTCAAATAAGCATATGAAAAGATGCACAACATTTATCCGTAGGAATTCGCAAATTATAACAACAATAAGATGCCACTATACAACTATGAGAATGGCTAAAACAAAGCAGAACAAATAAACAAAAAAACCCCTGACAATACCAAAATCTGGCTATGGTGCAGAGCAACAAGAACTCTCATTCATTACTGGTAGGAATGTAAAATGGCATAGTCACTTTGGAAGAGTTTGAGTTTCTTACAAAACCAGAAATAGTATTTTCATGTGATTTAGCAATTGCATGCCTGCATATCTTTTGTGCATTTACACAGTGATGAAATATTCCATGTTAAAAAGAAATGAGTAATCAGGTCACCAAAGGATAAGAATAAATCTTAAATGCATATTGGTAAGTGAAAGAAGCCAGTCTGGAAAATGTCACATAGTGGATGATCCAACTACATGGTATTCTGGAAAAGGCAAACTATAGAAACCATAAAAAGACCAGTTGTTTGCCAAGAGACCAAGGAGACGGGGGAGGAAAAAAGTAGAGCATAGGGGGACTTTAAGGTAGTAAATCTATACTCAATGATGCTTTAATAGCAGATACATGGCATTTTGCATGTGTCAAAACCCTCAGAGCTTTACGGTACAAAGAGTGAACATTAATAAAGAAAACAACCATTTAGAAGGTCAAGGAATCCCAGGAGAGATGCAGCTTGAGACATTAGAATCTAAGTGTATTGCAAATGTATGAAACAGCCTCATTGAAGAGGGTCAGGCTGGGGAGATACTGATGTAAATAACTTCGAAAAGAATGAAATCCATAAAGGCAAAAGGAAATTCACATAAACCTGTATCACCGTTGGCAAAATTACTTTTCATGGGAGTAGAGCTTCATTCTGATACTGCTTTTTGGGGATAATAGAATTGATCAATTAAGTAAATGGATGATACATGGTGGGAGGTGGGATTCTCACTGCTGAAGTGAATTTACAAATAAGCAAGGAAAGGAGGCTAAAATAATCCATGTGGTAATGAAATCAATTTGAAGCCATAAGTACATGTGTTTAACCTAATACAGGTGGTTGCATCGAGAAATACTTTAGATAATCATGCATACACAGGTTAGTATACACATAGGGATTTCTCTGTCCATTTAAATGAGAGGACCTGTAAGAAATGACACACCAGTAGCAACGAGCATGCCTAGTGCTCAGATCTTAGTTTCTCCAAACGTTCTTTAATATAAAATGAGCCATGGGACCTAAGAATGGCTGATTATAGAGCTGTGATAGTCAATATACAAAATGTGTCTGTAGTACTTTGTGCTTCTAAAAAATTCTAAACACACACATACACACACACACACACAACTTTGATTGGGAGTATGTCAAAGGAGCGCAAGAGGAAACTAAAGAGCTCCTTATGTCCAAAGTGCAATGCTAGAATAATTTGAGCAACTCAATAAATAAAATAGTATTAGATTATAAGTCAACATATAAAATGGATATTCCTGAGTGTATATATTTACAGTAAATTATTGAACAAATTGAAAGAAGGAATTCAAAATCTCCCATGCAGAATAATATTTCTAAATAACTTATGTAGGCCCTCCATCCTCACGGAGGGGAAGCACAACTCCTCACGTGTTAAATGTGTGCTGCACAAAGTAACTTCCTTCCAGAGCTCAGCACAGAAACAGGATAGAAAAGGGGTCATTTTACAGTGCAGAAAAATGACAAACACCTTCTCAGCCAGGTGATAAAGGTCAACATTAACAGTTATAAATCACGTTGTTAGTTTGCACTCTTCTCATAATGCGATGAATATGGCACTTTATTTCTCTGACCTTTTCCCCCAAACCCATAACCCCAATCCAATCATGAGAAAAACAAATTCCAATAGAGGACCATCCTACAAAATTCTTGACCACTACTCCTCAAAGCTGTCAAGGTCATCAAAATAAAGTCTGAAAAACTGTCATAGCTAACAGAAGCCTAAGGACAGATGGCAGTTAAATTTAATGTGGTGTCCTGGATGGGATCTCTTAACAGCAAAAAAGGACATTAGGGGGAAAACTAATGATATGAGAATAAAGTCTAGACCAGAGTTAATAATAATGTATCAACATTGGCTGACTAATTGTGACAAATATCTCGTACTAATGTAATATGTTACTATTACGAGAAACTGGGTACAGGGTAAATGGGAACTCTCTGTACTACTTCTCCATTTTTCTGTAAACATAAAATTTCTAAAAAATCCAGTGTATTTGTAAATAGTAGGTAGAAGATAAATGTCACTCAGGTTACTAGGATGCTATTTGTGAAGCTGAATAACTTATTTTCTAAAATACTGAGTAACGTTAATCAAAAGATTATGATGCATCATTGTTTACCCTGTGAGCCCCATATGACTCTATTCCTGAGTTGATCACCAACTCAATAATTTTTCTTATGTTGAAACTTGCAGAGCCTAATAACGTACATATTTTCTTTCAGATTCCAGCATTAAGCACTGTGCAGTTTTGAGAGAAGAAGTTATAAAGCAAAACTGACTTGAGTAACCACCAGCCCAACCTTCGGGACTTTGTGGGGATTGCTATGGCTCCCCTGGACTTACAAGCAATAGTGATGCAGAACCTGCCATCAATATGTGTAATGCTTGTCAAAAAATAATCACCCAAGTAATGTTTTAAATTTTACTGGTCAGTGCACTACCAATACTAGTTTTGGCATAGCAGATACTAAATAACAAAGCTTTGTTTCGAATAAATGTTTGTTCAGTTTCTACTTTTTGCTAAATCCCGTGATGATGTGCTCCCACTTGATAGCATGTTATACTGTACTAGTAAATTTTACTTGCTGTTTAACAAAGGAGGATTAAATGAATGGTGTGTTACAGTGGGTATACTGACAGGAAAGGCATGAGAAAAAACTATCTAAATACAACTGAGGGAAGAATTAAGTGTTGAAGGGAAGGTGAAAATGTGCACTGAGATTGGATGGGTGAGTAGGACTTCAGAGAGTGGAGAAGGCTCTATGGCTTTTTAATGGAAACAATAGCATGAGATAAATATCAGGGCTATGGAAATGCATACTGCACCGGGGCAATGTTTGTAAGTCTGAGATGGTTGAAGAATACGGTTTAGGAAGAGATACAGTGAAAAATAAAGCTTAGAACTGAGACAAACTGTCTCCAGCCCTGGATTCTCAGTTATTCCATTTGAAACCTAGTAATATAAACAACTTGAATGCATTACAAAGGTTTTGATCTGACTTGGGCTTTGGAAAGAGATTTCTGACTTTCTGTAGCTCAAAACTATAAGCAGCTTATATTTCTTCTTTACTCCTTTTTTTCTAAAATAAGGATAATGATACCCATCTGACAGAAATTTTATGAGCATAATGTAAAATTAAACATGGAATCCATGGCGCTTTACAAAATAATGTGTATTGTCTCTCCACAGAATGAAGGCGTATTTGATACTATTAACATAGAAGTCTTGAAAATAGAAAAAAACACTTCTTGGGTGGTGAAAACTTTCCAGTATGGTAAAAGTTAATTAGAATTTGTGTGAATTATACTGTATAATTACCAAGGCAAGCACAGTAATATGAATTTAAAATAGTAAGAGTAAGATTAAAGGCATATAATTTAGTTCAAATGTGACATCTTGACAACCTGCAAAAATTGCTAGAAATGAATGGTTCTTAATATTAAGAAATATAATAAGGATTGATTATTTAATAATTTAGATAATTTACATAAGAGTTATTGCAAAGTGGGAACAGTGTTCTTGTTAACTGGTTATATTGTGTAGTTATGTTACTGACTACAAAAATTTAAACTAAGGGGAAAGAATCACTTTACTCTCTTTTCATGTGAACTGACATCACTGTCACTGTATTGTTATAGTTGTAAAGCCTAATATTTTGTAAAGTAGAAAACATAATCTCTAGGTGTTATGTGGTTCCCTGACTTAATCTAGTCCTGCTGTACTATCCCTTATTATTATTATTTTTAACCCTGTTTATTTCCCTTGTGTCCACAATCTTATATTTAACATTTTTAAAAACTTAAAGTTTTTAATATATATTTTATATAAAATACATATTATATATAGAACTCATCAAATGAGTTTTGTTATATATATGTTATAAATATATATTTTTATATATATATAATATATAAGTTATATATATAAAATATATATATAAATATATATGTGTGTTATATATATATAAAATATATATATATATTTATATATAAACTCATTTGATGACCTGAAAGCATATACTGTATGTTCTGGACTTGAGTTTATGGAATAAAAATGTACGATTTTTAGGAAAATGTTATTTTTCTGGTCCAGCTGTATTCTGTTCACTCATTCCTCAAGTTAAATAAAATAATTTGTGTTCATTTTGTTTCTGAGTTAGTTTTCATCATATAAAATTGGAATAATCCTAATTTTGACTCCTTAAACAGTGTTAAAGAAATAAACCACGCTATTTTTTAGAAAAAGAAAAGCTACTTCAAATTCCTATGCTTTGCAAGATACAGTGGATCAATATAAATGAGCGAGGAAGTATAGACCAATTTATTTAATGTGTCCAAGGAAACAGTATATTCCACATTTCTGCTATTTTCAAAGTGATCCTGGTTAATTAAAAAACAACCACAACAACAAAAATTCAAAGACTATAAGCCTAACTTGATCCTTCAAAGCTGTAAAAAAAGTGTGATTAAATATCTAAACAGAGTTTCTATGTTTTGTTACTGTGGCTGTCTCTTTGATATAGGTGTTACTGAAGTATGTGAAACAATAGAAATTCTTAAATGCATTTAAGGTGGTCTGTGAATTTATAAGGTCTATGAATTTAGGCTAAACACATAACAAATCTGCAGTGGTAAGCAACAATAAAACATACACTTATTCAAGTAAATACAAAGAAACAATGACAGCTCTTAGGAAGACAAAGAAAAGATGATTGGATAAATTTTAAAAATGATACCACCAATTTTATTTTTGCTCATTCTTTTATAGTGTGATACGTTTTTTAGAAATCATATATTGATATTTCTTTAAGATCTCAAATTGGCTCTTTCTTGTGATTTTCTATTTCTGTAAATGTTTAGTTGTGATAGAGTTCCCTACATTCATATATATTTATATACGTGTGTATGTGCATGCATATATATACATGTGTATATCACCAACATCTAGTTTTTTGTTGGTAACCATAACATAAAAATATAGTTTTATATACTTTATATATTTATAATATTAAAGTCTTAAAATACGTTCTATATAATAGGTAATATATGCCAAGTCATATATAATGTGGGATATATTTAATGTATAATATATAGATATGAAATTATAGAAAATGTATAATAATAATATAGAATATATTAGGAGTCCTATATTGTCTATCCTGAATTACATATACAATCCTGTCTTATTTATTTATAATAAACCAAAATAAATGATAATTAAAGCAGAAAGCCCCCTTTGCTTAGATAAAATTCACACGATTTTTTAGGTAAAATTTTATGTTGTTATAAAGAGATGATTTAAAAGCTACAGAGTGAGTTAAAGGTCTAATGTCACTCTTCTGCATGGGGATATTCAGTTTTCTCAATACCACGTATTGAAGAGATATTCTTTTCCCTATTGTGTGTTCTTGGCATTTTTGTTGAAAATCATTGGATTAAAGACTTAAATGTAAGACCTGAAACTGAAATTACTAGAAGAAAACACAGGAGAAACCGAAACAACATGTGTGTGAGCAGTAATTTTTTTGTTTGACCCCAAAAGCCAGGCAACAAAAGCAAAAATTAACAAATGACATTTTATCAAACTGAAAAGATTTTGCACCGCAAAAGAAACAATCAATAAAGAGGCAACCTACAAAACAGGATAAAATATGTGTACATTGTATATTTGGATAAGGGGTTAATATCCAAAATATATCAGGAACTCAAAAACATGATAGCAAGAAAATAAATAACCCATTTAAAAAAACGAGCAAAGGACCTGAATAAAGATTTTTTTAAAAGAAGACATACAGTGGCCAAAAGATATATTAAAAATGCTCATTATCACTAATCATGAGGGAAATGCAAATGGAAAGCACGATGAGAATCACCTCATATCTATTAGAATAGCTATTTTCCGAAAGATGAAAGAGAAGTGTTGGTGAGGACGTGGAGAAAAGGAAATCCTTAAACACTGTTGGTGAGAATGCAAATTAACTCAGCCATTATGGGAAAAATACGGAAATTCCTACAAAAATTAAAAACAAAACCAGCATATGATCCAGCAATCCCAATGCTTGATATATATCTAAAAGAAAAGGTGATCAGTATATCCAAGAGATATCTGTACTGCTGTGTTCCCTGCAGCATTATTCACAATAGTTAAGTTATGGAGTCAACCTAAGTATCCGTCAATGGATAAATGGATAAAGAAAATGTGATATACAGGCTGGGTACAGTGACTCATGCCTGTGATCCAAGCACTTTGGGAGAGTGAAGCGCAAGGTTGCTTGAGGCCAGGAGTCCGAGACCAGCCTAGGCAACACAGTGAGAACCCATCTATACAAAATTTGTAAAAAATTAGCTGAGCATGGTGGTATACATGTGTATACTACTCATTTTTTTTCAGCTAAAAAAAATTAGCTGAGCATGGTGGTATGCACCTATAGTTTCAAGAACTACTGTACAAATTCTAAAATTTGTATGTAGAAAATACCAGTTACATGACTCAGGAGGATCCCTTGAGCCTAGGAAGTTGAGGCTGCAGTGAACCATGATGTTACCACTGCACTCCAGCCTGGGTGACAGAGCAAGACCCACCCCCACCTTAAAAAAAAAAAAAAAAGAAAAGAAAGAAAAAAATGTCATATACATACACAATGGAATACTATTCTGCCTTAAATTGTCACTTGTGACTACATGAATGAATTCGAAGGACATTATATTAAGTGAAATAATCTAGGCACAGAAAGACAAATACAGCACGTTCTCACTCATATGTGGGAACAAAAACAATGAAACGCACAGAAGCAGAGGGTAGAATGGTGAAATACCAGGGGATGGCAGGTGGGGATGTGGGGGAGATGTTAGTTTAAGGGTATAAAATTTCAGGAACACGAGATGAATAAGTTCAAGAAATCTATTGTACCGCATAGTGACTATAGTTAATAACAATGTATTGTATCCTGGAAAATTGTTGAGAGTAGATTTTAAGTATTTTCACTACAAAAAATTATGTAAGGTAATTCATATTAACTAGCCATTTTGTAATGTATACATCTACAAAAAATAATGTTTCTTATCTCTCTCTCTCTCTCTTTCTGTCTCTCTTATTTGTTGATTAAAATGTTTACTTAAAATTTGTATGTAGAAAATACCAGTTATATTAAAAACCATGAATTTATAAGGATTGGAAAACATGCACATTTATATTTTACAACGAAATGAAATAAGGCAAGCATGTATATTTTTGTTGGAATTAAAACTAGTTTATCATGAATTTTGAATGTGTTGAATGCAAAGAGGAATTGGAACAAATTGTTTAAACTATTGTCTTCCAGTATGCTGTTTAGGATCTCTTGTCTCAATTTCTTTTTGGAATCTCATGTATAGTTCACAGATTTCCAGCCACTTTGAGTCAAAAGAAGTCTCACTTCGAGAATTAAAGCAAGTATCAAAGATAAATAACGAAAAATCTTAATATGGAATTTAAAACTTAAGTATCATATAAAATTATTATTTGTCCTCTCCTCTCAGTTCAGGTGCCTGCGGTAGGGACAAGGGTTCTGGTCTTTTCTTAACTTTTTCTTTTATGTCTTCCATGTCATGCTGGTAGAATCTTCAGGAGGGAGGTCAGGTAAATTGGAACAGAGAAAAGGAAACAAAGTGCTTTCTAACTGGGGCTATTATTACTCTGCTTTCAATAACCTTTTCGAGGCAGACATTCAGATGCTCTGTCTCCTTTAGGATTCATTTCTTTCTCTTTAATTTGAACTCTTGCGACTCTCCTGCAAATCCTGCATAGAGAACCTAATTACTAAGATTTTATTGCTTGAAAAGTTTGTCCCCTTGGCTGGTTATTTTCAGGACAGCTCCATCTTGTCTGTCTTCCATAGTGTCCATTTGACCCATTCATCCTTCATGTGTCCACAAAGGGCATTCCGTCTGTCTGACTGCTGCCCTCTGCCTCTTCTGGCTACTGTTCTGCCCTCAGCATTCTACAGGAAAGGATCAGCACTGGTTTCTATGTCCATGCATGCCCGTTTCAATGTCCTGGGGGAAAATAAAATGCTCCATTCTTTGAAAACACCTTTCACAGCATTCCCACTGCTGCTCCAGGCTGTACCTAGTTTATGCAACTTGGCGCACATCCACCCAAAAAGCTGGGCTCCAAGTCTTTCCTTTTGTAGAGGTCTCTGAGCATTTCCTTTGAATATCACCTTCTTTTGTCTGAAGAAGCCACCTCATCCCAAATTCTCCCCAGGAGCACTAGGCTAAAACCTCAGTGCTCTGTCCAACGCTTTTCAATTTTATTCAAGAACTTGCACAAACTCTAGATTTCTAGTCTTTAAAATATAGACTGGGAGAATGCGAGTGTCCACCATAGAAATGATTTTTTTCTTTTCTTTTCCCCTTTAAGAAGCCTTGGAAG